TTGTTGTTTGGCAGGACTGGGCTGGGTTCAAACCCTCCAGCTCCCTTGTATGTGGTTGGTGCCCTAGCCACTGAGCTACAGGTGCCAAGCCTATGTTTAAATTATTTAATGAATGTATTTGAAAAGATTTGCACACTCTGGGAGGCTGAGGACAGGTGGATTGACTGAACTCATGGGTTCAAGACCAGCCTCAGCAAGAGGGAGATCCCCATCTCTAAAAATAGCCAGGCATTGTGGCGAGCACCTGTAGTCCCAGCTACTTGGGAAGCTGAGGCAAGAGAATCTCTTGAGCCCAAGAATTGGAGGTTGCTGTGAGCTATGTCACCATAGCACTCTACCAAAGGCGACAAAGTGGGACTGTCTCAAAAAAAGAAAAAAAAATGATTGGCTGAGTAATATAGAGGAGTTGGAAGGGCAGGAAGGATGCTAAATCCTGACATTCTATATAATGTATACTATAGGAGGTTAGTATATTTTCCTATTTGGTTCACTGCTTTATTCTTATTGCCTTAAACAGTACCAGCCCATGGAAAGGACTTAATATTTGTTGATTAATGGATGTGTTCTGCAGATACACTCTGTGGAGATAGTTCAACAAATGTAGTCCACTGACTCTGAGAGTACTTGAGATGGTTTCACCGGGGTCTGCATGGTCAAAATTATTTTCATAACAATAAGACTTTGCTTTTTTTTTTTTTTTTTGCAGGGGGGAGGGAGGAGGCCAGGTTTGAACACGCCACCTCTGGTATATGAGCCGGCGCCCTACTCCTTTGAGCCATAGGCGCCACCCTCAAGACTTTGCTCTTTTTTCATTGTGTTGACATTCTTACTGTGGTGCAAAACTAATTGGAAGAAACTACCAGCTCTTTTCAGTGAATCAAGGCAGTGGCATTTACTTATACTAGAGTCATTGTATTCTTTTCTACCAGGCACATCCAATAGAAGAGTTACAAAAGCGGCTAGGCAAGGTGGCTCATGCCAGTAATCCTACCATTCTGGGAGGCAGAGGCCTGTGGATCACCTGAGCTCAGTCAGGAGTTCAAGACCAGCCTGAGCAAAGCCAGACCTGGTCTCTACTAAAAATAGAAAAACTTCCTGGGTGTAATGCTACTGGCCTATAATCCTAGCGACTTGGAAGAGTCAAGCAAGAGGATTGCTTGATCCCAGGAAGTTAAGGTTGCTGTGAGCTATGAAGCCATGGCATTCTACCCAGGGTGACAAAGTGAGACTTTTTTTTTATTTCTTTTTTTTATTTAATCATAGCTATGTACATTAATACTATCATGGGGTACAGTGTGTTGTTTCTATATACAATTTGAAATACTTTCATCCAGCTGGCTAACATAGCCTTCGTGTC